GGCCCCTTTCTCAGGGCCAGCAATTGCAAGGTGCATCCCAGGCTCCAGAGAAGACTCAGAGTGCTCAGGGTGGCCACAGTAACTCGGATTACCCGACATTGATTTTCATCTGCAAAATACCACTGGGGCATCCTCTGCACAGTTCTGGGCCCCGGGATGGGGAAGTTGTGGTCTTGCCAGATTCTGAGCTTGCAGAGGTTTGGGGATGAGGACAAGGCAGGTGCCATCCACTATCCAGGCCAGGTCCTCTGGGTGCAGAGCAGACAGCTGAGAGGAGCAGCAGGAGAGCTGAGGTGGGGAAGAGCCCTGGGAGGAGGTCTGTGTCCCCAGATCTCACATCACATCTCTATTAAGGCTCAGGGCAGCCTCTGGGTGCCAGGCCACTGAGCAGGACCTCTCCAGCCTCCCAAGACAGACAGGAAAACAACATCTCATTTTCACCTGCCACTAGTTGCAGCAGGGTCTTACCTTCTGTCCTAAATGAGGGTGGCTGTGGCCACACTGTCACAGGGAGAAGGCATCAGTTGATGTGGAGAACACAAATGCCATCAGTTCTCTAAAATTGTGTAGGAACTCAGCCACGTGTTGGGTGAGCTGAGGGTCACGGCCGGGGACCAGGAGCCTGTTGTCCACACGTCTGATTCCTCCTTCTTTACCTGTGTTCCACTCGTCCCTTCTGGGCCAGCACTTGAGGAGGACATATCCAGCACCCAGACCAGGGGTTGCATGAGTAGCAGGTGCTCTTGATGTTGTTCACTAAGGACTGATGAGTAGCTGGGTCAGGAACTTGAATTTGACAACCCTCAGCCATCAAATGCTTGGACTTGGTTCCTTGAAACTGTTCCCTCTCCACCTGCTCCCTCCTTAATACTTGGGCACCTCAACCCACAAATGCAGACTCCCATGTCTGTGTGACCGGCCCAAGAGCCCAGGTGAGTTTGATGTCATGTTTTGTGCATCSTGAGAAACTGTTCTGAGAGTGGCTGGGAGACACGAGCACTCTGTGCCATCACTTTTCAGCTTGTGAAGTCTTCTGCCACTCAGCGCCACCATCCTAGCCACAGCTCCCTAAAGAGACCCGTCCAGGCCTTCCCCTCTCCTGGCCCTTGTCCCAGGCCAGAGCCCCCATGTCCTCCCAGAGGGTGCCACAGATGGTGGCTTTGCAGCTATTGATTCATTAGGGGCACCTGTGTTCTCCCTGGACTAGAAGTTTGTGTCCTGGGGATTCTGGGGAAGGGAGGGACAGTGTGCACAGTGTGTACTTCTGTATGATGTTTCATAGGACAAATATCTTATGTGGGGTTGTTAAGGCCCAGTTGAGCCCCCTTGGGCCTTATGCCTCTCCCTCATCAGTGAGAGCCCTCCCAGCTGCTGCCCCCACACCGGGACGCTGCAGTGCTGGGGCCTTCTTGGGCCCAGCTCTCTAGGAAGGAGAAAGGGTCTGGGAACCCTAACTCAAAGGGCCCCGGGGTTCAGAGAAGACAGGAGAGGCCTCCCCTCCAACCTCCCCAAGTCCAAGAGGACAAGCAGAGGGACCCAGTGAGAATTGGTGGGGGCCAGAGCAGCTGCTGGCACCCTGGTTGGGGAAGGTGGCAAGCTGGGGCCTGCCAGGGCAGTGGGGGGAGCAGAGGAGCTGACTCAGCACCCGGAAGAGCTGGCACTGGGAGAGCCTGGGGAGCCCCCTCTGCCTCCCAGCAGCACCCCACCCTACCCCGTCCTGACCGCCCGGCGAGGTGGGAAAGGTGCTGAGACTGCAGGCCCTGTCCTGTCTGCAGAAGCTGCAGGGTCCAGGGCTGGGCATTCATCAGCTCACTTCCCCCATCCACCATCAGCAGCCCCGGAGTAAGACGCGGCCTCTAGCATCCAGCCGAGGAAGCCACCTGTCCTTCAGAAATGGTCACAGCCCCAGGATCAGTTCCTATTTTGAAGACAGCTAGAGAGACGAGTCCTCGATTTTTTTGTCTAAACAAATTCCTTTATTTTCCACTTGTTCTCTGTCTCTGAGTCAACAAAACATCCAACAACAGTTTCCTTCTTGTGGATGGATGGGCAGATGGACAGACAGGTGTAGCTCACCCCTTCCCTGGTGGCTGTGAGTAACCAAAGAGAAGAACAGGTTCTGTGGGCCTCAGGACTGGGCCATTTCTGAGAAGCTCTCAGATGGAGCCACAACCTACAAACCTCTTCCCACAACTTTCTGTCAGGGAGATCGTTGAACATCCAGAAGAGATGCAGAGCCTGAACCCCAAACACCACGGGTCCACACCCCATGTTCCATGCTGCCTGGAGTGCTCTGGACCTGCCATCCTCTCTGGCCCATCCTTCCCTCTTCATGCTTTTGTGTACAAGCCAACTCCTGTCGCCCTCCACCACTTGGGCATGCATGTCGCTAACTAGCACCTCCTGTGTGCCGGTGACATCACGTGTACAATGTCACCCCATAGAAGGGATGGAAGTGAAGCACCCTGGTCCTGGTGGAGGAGAAGCCCACGAGGGTAACTAGCCCATCCCCAATTAGACAGAAGGCTCCCAGTCCTGAGTGGCCAGTCCCCCAGCTCACCGCACTCACTTACCCCTGAGGCACCTCAGCTGGGGCTGGGGCTCCTGACTCCCACCATGCTCAACCCCCACAGAGGGCTCCCTCCTCACCCCCTTCTCATTCAGGAGGCCTGGCTGGAAGTGAGAAGGGCCAGCCAGAGGGAGGCCAGATGTCTCCTCCAGTCTGTGCCTGCCCATGTGCTGGACACCCACGCGACCCCCAGCTACTTGGTCCTCAGAGACCCCTCTCCCTGAAACCCCCACTCATGGCTGAGGGTGTCATCCCAACACCTCGGGCTGCCTATGAGGACGGACCCCAAAAGGAGAAGGCACAGCTGAATTCAGAGCCCCAGCGACACGTGCAGGAGGGGACCCAAGAGGGAGCCGGGGAGGAAGCCTCAGCAGTCATCAGAGTGGGGGACGTAGAAACCAGGATGGAGAGGGTTGGACAACAGGTGATGGAGGTGTGGGTGCTTTGAAGGGAAGCATGATTTAGGGGAGATTCTTCTTAGTTTTTACAGCTAGGAGTATCTTGGAACAGGGTGGGTGCCAGTGGACAGCTGGACCAGAGAGAGGGCTGAGGCATGGAGGGAGTGGCTAGAGCTTTTCATGACTCATTGCTGCAGGAGGTAAGCAGGTGCCCAGTGGGCAGGCCTGGAGTGGGTACATCTGGGGGCCTCTGGTTTTCAGTGTGGTCAGCCAAGAGTATAGGGGAGCATGAGGTACAGCCATACCCTTCTCCCTGGTTCAGTCCCTCCCCTCTCTGGGCTCTGGGGCACCTGGCCTGCCCCTCCTCTCTCCCACTCTTGAGGGCAGGGACCACTGATCCTGGCCCCATTCCAGTTTCTCAGTCCCTGAGAAACTGGAATGGGCCCAGGCAGAAGGCTGACCTTCTGCTAGGCATAACGGCGCGTGCCTGTGATCCCAGCTGTAACCCAGCTGGGGGTGGAGGGTTGCAAGTTAGAGGTCAGCCTGGCAACTTAGCAGGACCCTGCTTCGAAATAAAAATTCTTGGAAAGGGCTGGTGCAGGAGGCAGCTCAGCAATACAGCTTGCCTAGCATACAGGAGGCCTTAGGTTCAAAGAGAAAGAAAAAGGAAAGCTGTCCTTCTGTCCTGCCAAGTGCCACTCAGACTACACCCGGAGCACCCATGTGGTTTGTGCAGCACTAGCATGGACACTAGGGGGTCTCCGTGGTCTGTACCCAGAGAGGAAAATGTGAGCCATTCCCATCCCATGTGGGGCAGGTGTACCCTGAGCTGGATCTAAGAGAGAAGCATAGGAGCGTGGATGGGAAAGACCATGTGACTCTGAGACCAGAGGTGGCCCCCCAGGTGCTCCAGGGCCAGTCCTCCCAGTAGCACTACAGGGAGGGACATGTGGAGAAACTTGGCAGGTGTCACCTGCCCGCAGACCCCACAATAGTGGGGTGAAGAGAGCAAGTGTGACCCACAATGTCCTGCACACAGGGGACCCGTGACACCATGAGTGGGGTTTGGAGGCAACAGAGGGGGTGATGGCAGGCAAAAAGCAGTTGGACCCACTGGAATCTCTTTCTGTTCTTCCCACCCCACCCTTCTCCAAAAGGACTTGGCAAATCTTTCTTTTAGATTGAGGTGCAGTTTTATAGAGCTGGTCCCGCATCTGAGGCTCTGCATCTGCAGAGTTAACTGAGGATTGAAATATTTGGGAGAAAATTGCATGTGTCCTGAACTCTGGGGTCCTATTCCCTGAATGATACACTTTAGCAGCCATCTACACCATGCTACATTGTGTCGGGTATCACTGTAATCTAGAGATGGTTTAAAGCTTTAGGGGACAATGTGTCATTTTATGCAAGGGACTTGAGTAACTGCAGATCTTGGTGTCCATGGGAGATCTAGGAGCCAGTCCCCACCCTGTGGATACTGAGGGGTGCTGTGTCTTGAACACATCTTATTGAGGGTGCATGTCTTGTATCTTTGGGGTAAATAGCCAAATATGGGCAGGAATGGGTTTCATGTGATTCTTGCCCCGATCACACCCCTACTCCAGAAGCTGAGCTTCTCCTCCTGGGCCCTAAGGTGCCCCTATTTAGGAAGCCCCTGTGCAAACCTGGGGCTACCTGCTCTGGGGTCCATCCCAAGGCTCTTTAGTAGCCAGCAATTCTAGTCTCTGCATTCTCCAAAGGCTTTGGGGTCCTCCACTAGTGTCCTAATGCGCCCAGGATCTCTGCATTCCCAAGGGTGGGGGTGTGGGCCCTTCTTTTGCCTCCCACATCCATCAGTTTGCTCAGTGCTGTCTCAGGTACACGGATGGGCAGGGCCCTGGCTTTTCCTTAATATCAAGTTTCCTTCAAAGCAGAAGTGTCCTGCCCCTCAGTGCACAGGTGCCCCCAAAGCAAAAGGCCTATGTGTGCCCCAGGGCAGGGCAGCCTCCCCACTGTGTTCCCGGCTGGCCCTAACCACCTGTCCTCCTTGCTAGGTCACTGGCCATCGGGCCCCAGTACTCCTCTCTGAGCACACACCCCATCCTCTGTGCCAGCATCCCGGGCCTGGTGCCCAAGCAGCTGCGCTTCTGCAGAAACTACGTGGAGATCATGCCTAGCGTGGCTGAGGGTGTCAAGCTGGGCATCCAGGAGTGCCAGCACCAGTTCCGTGGCCGCCGCTGGAATTGCACCACTGTGGATGACAGCCTGGCCATCTTCGGGCCTGTGCTCGACAAAGGTACCTGCCCTACCACCATGTGTACTCTCAGGGACTTGGGAAGCCTGTGAGGGAGGGGCAGGCTGGCCTGGGATGCGCAGATGCAGGGTCCCTGGGTGTGCCTCCTCCTCCCTCCCTCTCAGGAGCCAGGGCTTCTAGGGAGAAAACCTTAGGAAGGGAGAGGAGGTGGGGCTGTGGGTTAGTCCAGGAAAGAGAGGACGGTGGGAGACTGGGTGTTGGTTGGCTGCTGCCAAAGAGCAAATTAACCCATAATGTAGTGGCTAGAGCAATGATTACCATGTGCCATTGCAGCCTGCTGGCCAGGGGTGCATCTGCCCATGTCATGAGGCCAGCCCAGCTGGACACCATGAAGAGCCTACTCGACGGGGGCTTCTTAACAGCCTGGGGCCTGGATCTCAGGGCAGATATAGGGAGAGAGAGGAAGAGACAGACAGAGAGAGACAGAGGCAGAGATACAAAGAGAGAGAGAGAAAGAGGCACAGGGATGGAGATGAGAGAGAGAGAGACAGACAAAGACAGAGAGAGGCAAAGAGAAACAAAGAGACTGAGACAAGGGACTAGGGGACAGAGACAGGGAGAAACAAGTAGGGAGACAAAGACACAGAGACCCAGAAACAGACACAGCCAGGCAGAGAGACAGAGGGAAACAAAGAGAAACAGGAGGCAAAGGTGGAGAGAGAGACACCGAGGGGGACCATGGGAGAGAGGACACACAAAATGCAAGCTTTTGTGGCTTTGGAACAAAACTGAGGAAAATCATGATTGGAATCACTTCTAAGCATACAATCCTGTGCATTAGCACATTCATAGAGTTGTGTGACACAACCTCTCGTTCCAGAATGTTTGCATCACCCTCAAGGAAACCCAGCCCATGAGTGGCCCCTCCAGGCCCTCTTCCCCTCCAGACCCTTGGCCACTGGCCTGCTGCCTGTACCTATGGACTCTCCTGTTGTGGACATTGCCTACAGCATGGTCAGTCACGGTGCGACTTCTGGGGCTAGCTTCTTCCCTCAGCATGGCGTTTCAAGGGACGTCTGTAGGAGCATGTCAGCACTTTGTGGCTTTTAGTGAATGAATACTCTACTCTCCCAGGAAGGATGGACCACATTGTCTATCCCTTCCCCAGTTGGTGGACACCAGGGTTGTCTCCACCTTTTGACTATGTGAAGAGTGCTGCTAAGAACAGCATTTCTTGGGCAAGCATTTCTTTTTGAATCTTTGGGGAATAAAATCAGGAGTGGTGATTGCTGGGTCATATGCTAATTCTATACTTAGTTTTTCGAGGAACTGCCCAATGTTTTCCATAGTAGCTGAACCATTGTGCATTCCTACCAGCAATGCCTTGAGGATGCCGATTTTACACATCCTCAGCAACGCTCCTTTTCACTTGTGAGCCATTGTGGTGTATGTGTGAGACATCTGTCTGTGTTTCATGTGCACACGCCAATGGTAAAGTGTGCTCATCGGTCTTCTGCATATTGTGTTTGAAGAATTGTCTGTTCAAATCCTTGGTCCATTTTTTAATTAAATCGTTTGTCTTTTTATCATTGAGTTATATGTGCTTTTTATATATTCTGGATACTAAACGTTTATCAGATACATGATTTGCAAATATGTCCTACCATGTGTATCACTTTTGTGATAGCAGCCTTTGATGCACAAAAGAGCTTACTATTGATGAAGTCCAATAAATTTAGATGTCATATCAAAGCAAGCATTTCCTAAGCCTAACTAACAAAGATGCACAGCTATGCTTTCTCTCTTACCTTCAGGCCAGGTGAGTGAGCTACTTTGAGCTTCTTCATGCATTTGCTATCAAGTGGGGATCTGGTCACATTCCTCTGCCTGTGGAATCCTGTCATTCCAGAACTTTCTGTTGAAAGGTTGTCCCTCTCCCTCTGAATGATCTTGACACCCTGGTCAAGAATCAGTTGGCCAATTCCATTCCATTGGCCTATGTGTCTATATTTTTGTGAATACTACACTATTTTGATTGTTGTAGCTTTGGAGGATGTTTTGGGCAATGTGTGTCCCAACTTTGGATTTCTCTTCCAAAATCATTGTGGCTGTTGGAGTTCCTTGAAATTCTATTTTTTCCACTTTGTTGTTGTTGTTGTTGTTGATGCATTATAGTTGTACAAGTTGATGGGTTTGTTTTTATATATACAAACGTGCACACAACATGATAATATAATTTGGCCAACGTCACTCTACCTTGCAATTCTATACAAATTTTAGATCAGCTTTTCCATTGCTGCAAAAAGTCAGTTGAGCTTCTGATGGGATTGAGTGAAGCTGTGGGTTGCTTTGGGATGGTCCTGCCCTGCCAACCACACTGTGTCTTCCCTCAAGAGCGCAGGATGGAGTGCCCTCTCTGTGCCTATTTGTATGCTGTGGCTTTCAGGACACAGGGCTTGCATCTCTGTGGTTAATGTATTCCTGAGTGCTCTGTTCTCCTGGTGCTGTTGTAAATGGAATTGCTGCCTGATTCCTTCTCCAGGTTGTTCATTACTGATCTTTAGAGACACATCTTGTCAGGTGCCATGATGCACATCTGTAATCTCAGCAATTTGGGAGACTCAGACAGGAAGATCAAAGTTCAAGGCCAACCTTAGCAAGACGCTGCCTCAAAATAAAGAGTAGAAAGGGCTGGGGATGTAGCTCAGTGGTAAAGAGTCCCTGGGTTCAATCCCAGTACCCCCAAAAATTATAAGATAAGAGTTTTCTGTGCTTTGAATCTGTATCCTGCAATTTTGATTATTGGCTGTGAAGTGTGTGTGTGTGTGTGTGTGTGTGTGTGTGTGTACTGTATGCACGTCTGTGTGCATACTGTTTGCCCCTTGTAATCCTCTTGGGACAGGTTGAAGAGAAGCAGGACTACTCTCCCCTTACCTCTTTCCCTAACTCCTCTGGCTCGGACCTCCAGAGCCCTGCTGAAGAGAAGTGGTGAGAGTGGCAGCCTGCCTGGTCTCCCACCAGGCCAGAGGCCTTCAGCCTTCACCACTGTGTGCCACTTGGTTACAGGTCCCCACGGGGTCCCCAGGTGGCAGAGGTTTCTGTACTTCACTTTTGAATGTTTTCAAGGAAAACCCTGTGCAGTCGCTGCTCTGCCCACACAGAGTTCAGAATTCAACAAAGCAGTGGCTTGACTCAGAGAGATGCCAGGTCCATTTTGGGATGCTGGCTGCCACTTGTCCCCAGACCTCCCTGTGCCAGCCCCCACACCTACACCACCCTTTGCTGGGCGCTGTGCCCTTTGGCTATTTCCAGAGGTCTGACTGTGGGGTCTGACAGTTTGGGCTTGCTTTTCCATGGCTCCTGGAGTTTCCTACTGGGTCCTGGGGTGGGAGCAGACCACAGACCCCACCACTCGATGGCATAGAGGTCACCATGGAGGAGCATCATGAAGTTTGCAGTGTAGTCAGCTCCTGAAGGGGCCATCGCTTCCTGGAGCAGGGCCCAAGAACACACTGTCCATTGAGGCACCCAGGTGACCAGCAGGAGGGAGGAGTTTGGGCAGAGGGCCAGGTCACGTGGGAAGGGCCCACCAGGGACCCTGCATCCTGCAGTGTTCCTCACAGCATGGCCACAGCTGGGGTCCACTTCCCGTCTCCACAGCCCTTCTCCTCTGGCTTCCTGGGCTTGCGCCCACAGCCCCAGCCTTCCATTGCTCAGGTCAAAAACCTCAGGCTCCCGATGAGCCTCTAAGGCTCAGAGCCCCTTGGCAACACCTTCAGCCTCAATCCAGAGCCTGGTACTTCCCACCATGCCCTCCCACCACCCAGATCCCAGTCACTGCAGGTGCTCCCATGAGACACCTTGATCATGCCCCCATGACCAAGAGAACTGGTGTCCCTCCCTTGATAGCCATGCCACGCTGCCCACCTGCCTCCTTGGCCCCGTCCTGGCAATGCACAGAATGTGTGTGCCCCTGCACTCCTAGCCCCCCAGGCCATGGTATCAGGAGGTAAAGCCTGTGGGAGGTGATGAGGTCATGAGATGGGAGCCTCACGATGGGATCAGTGTCCTTATCAGGGGATCCCAGGAAGCCCTGCCCCAGGATCCACCTCTGTCCTCACCATGTGAGGACAGTAAGATGGGTGGCCGTGGGCCAGAAGCAGCCCTCACCAGGCCAGAACCTGCCAGGCCGTGACCTTGGGCTTCAGCCTCCAGAACTGGAGCAGCACATCTGTGTTTCACACCACCAGGGCCAGCGTCCTTGTCAGGCAGCCCAAGTGGACCAAGACACTCCCTGACCCGTCCACCTGTGGGCCTCCTGGCTGCTTCTCAAACTCAAGGCACAGTTTACTCCTGACTCACACCAGGGAGGGCTGCCAGGAGCACTCTTCCCCCTCTGTCTTTACGGCTCACCACCTGGGTCCCACAGGGCCCTGTCCTCATGCCAACAGGTTTTGTCATACATAGTGCCCCCCCCAGTGCTTCTGTTCCCCTCACATGGTTTCTCAGTCCACCAGCCCTGCCTCAATTTTCCTTCCCATGTACAGTGTCAGTGCAGCCCACCCTGCCCAAGGCCAGGGGAAGCCCACTTTGCACACACTGTCTGATACCCAAGGAAGGAGCAAGTGGCCTTGCCATAGCCCAGCAGCTGGGATTCAGGAGGTTGGGTGTCCAGTCGAGGAGCCAGCCCTGCGGGCCACAGGCATTGGTGGAAGCCAGCTGAGGAGGCCTGTGTGTGGCTGGTGCAGCTTGGCTGGGAGAGTCTGCACCCAGGTGTGGCCATGCCCCACCCCCTGAGGGGCAGTAATCCAGGATGGCAGTCCAGCTGGAGGTAGAGGAAGAGACTGGAGCTGGGGGCCTGAGGCCCCTGTGCCCTTGAAGGAGAGTGGCTCACGTCCTGGACTGTCAGCGTCCTGTCTATGAAGTGGGAGAATGCTGCAGCCTGCCACTTCACAGAGCTGCTGGTCAGGTGTCACAGACTTGATCACAGCTTGGTTCTGGAAATGGAGGAGTTGGGTCCTCAGGGCCACGTGGCTCCCCAG